AAAATACAGACAGACACACACACACACACACAGCCGCGTTTATTATTATGTATAGATTTACTTTTCTCAACCAGTACGAAAAGTGAGTATTCAGCTAGTTTTAAACTGCCGTTGACGGAAAATGCCCAATATTGTTTGTAGGATAGCATATTATTTTTTTTTATTGATTGCAAGTAATTTTCCTCAAATTGCGCTTAGACTTACACCATAAAAATTGTTATTTTACGTTTTTCTCTAAGTAACTTATCTTATGATCAGAACGATAGAGATCTATCTTTCTATCCTAAAAAGGGATAAAATGCCAGGGGCAATTTATAATTTTAAACCTTTTAAATATTTTGTAATATTATTACAATTTAAATTATTTATACTTGACTTATAAAACTATAATTGTTTCTGAGAAAATCCTTATTTGCATTAAGGAAGAATTTCCAGCAAAATTGCAGTATTGTATGGAAATGACATGTCTGGTTTTAAAAAAAATGTAATTCTGATTATCAAGATTTGATTATATGGTATTGAAACCATTCATTCAGTAATTATTCTGTTCATATGTTAATGGTTTATCAGAAATTATATTTTCAAAATTATTGTTCTTATTACCGCACATTAAGTAGGAAATACAAAACGGAAAGGAAAAATGAACCGAATGAATGGTTTTTATGCTATGCTCTAAAGAATTATGATAAATTACCAAATTTTATCACAGATTATTAAACCATATTTTAATGTTAATTTTACCGAAATCATTATCTAAACGTTTTGGTTAAAACTATTGAACCTTTTAGTATTCCCATAAAGCCAGAAACACTGTAAATTTCACCATATTTTGTAAATTTCTATTCGATTTTTTTTCACAGTGTGAGAATATGTTATTAATTTTGACTTATAAGGAAAATGACTTTTTTCCTCAAATAAAAAAAGCCTACTTTTCTAATATCTGAAATAAAATGAACAATTGACGAATATTTTCTATTGATACTTTGAAGCATCAATTTAGTGTTGATTAAACCAAAATTTGGAAAAAATCAAACATTTACTTCACGTTACTTGTGGCACAAGAAAAACGAATTAATTATGAAAAATCCTTTTGAATAACTTGAGATTTATTGCAGCCAATACTTACGCATTAAATTTTAATGATAAAAATACTGTAAATTTAGCATTTCTATAACTTGTTAAAAAACATAATTTTAATTTTTCGTTCATTAAATTTCAAAAGATTTATATAAGTTTTTTTATATAATAACTATAATTTTAACTCACAGTAATATTACATATGAGAAATTATTATCGGAAAATAGAGTACTAACACATCATAAAATATTTTTACCCTTATAAATTTAAAAAAACTTCACTCTTCGAATGTAAAATGTCATTTTACTAAGAACTTATAAAGATAACCAATTTTTATCTCCAATCGATATAAAAGGCATATTTGAAAAAATAATTTGTAAAATTTCGAATGAATTTAATGAATTAAAAGTGAACCAAACTCATTTTTATCAAATAACAGTAAAAATGCAATTTATAGGTATTTAGATAGAAATATATATTATCTTTGAAAAAAAAAGAAAGAATACTTCACACTATATTAAAACAACACTAAAAGCTACTATCGTGTAAAAAGGAACTCCTTATGAATGAAACGCGTGTAATTAAATTTTAATTGAATTAATTAAAAGCGAAACACAAAACAATCTTTAATGATACCTCTAATTACAAACATAATTTGTAAATTTAAAATTTATAATTACTTTAACTAATATTTTCTTACAATGCAATAAATTTAAAAATAGGAATTTACGTTGAAGAAGCAAATTTAGTTTATCCAAAGGCAAAAAAACGAAATATTTACTTTACCACAAACTCACGAAACATTTTAAATAAGAATAAACATGCATCTCTTCCAGATATATGGTGATGCTGCTTTTGCAACAACAATATTAGAAGGAAAAGGTGTTCCAGATGTGTTTGGAGTTACTTGGGCCTGGGGTGTTGGAGTGATACTGGGAGTAACTACTGCCGGAGGCATTTCTGGTAAGATTGAAAATGCTTTTTTATTATAGTAGCTTCAATACTTTTTTTTCCATTTAAAACTTTCTTTGTATCTGTCAAATAAATAAATTTCTCACAGTTAATAACGACACTCTTAGAAATTTTTTGATAAAATGGTTGAATAATAACTTGTTTGAATATTATTTTACCATATTCAAGATGGTGAAGAAGATAGTGTTCAACGCGTTTACTGCGTGAAAAATCGATTATTGACAGTTTTTACCTTATACGGTTAAACACCTAGTATTTTTCCTAGTATCCAACAACACTGTAAAAAATTCCTGATTGAAATTCCCGGCACTAAGTGTTTCGGTACTTGCAATTTTTATCAGAACATTTTATTTAGCAAAAAATTAAATATACCGTAATTTTTGCAATAATAATTACTGTAAAATCACTGAATCACTCTAAGTAAATAAATATTCCTGTAAAAATAACAGTGTAATATTTTACCGGAAAAGTGGATTTTACGTTAAATTCATTGTACTGATGATACATCCAACATGTCGGTACTTTATACCGTATTTGGATCCGGAATTCTTTACAGTGTAGGCTCGCAAAAAATGAGTATCGGACGCACGTTCTTCGAAATCCAAATGATTGCCAAGTGATAAGGTTTAAGATATCTATTCCTATTTTTCCTCATCGGATGCGAACAAAACAGCTGTTGGCTTATTAACTTATAGCGTTAAATATGTGTTGAACACTTTATGAAGCAACTTCATTCCTTGCAGCTGGATATATAGTTTAGCTGAGAGAGATAATCTGACAGCTGAACAGATTGAATTCCAGCGATGATACCACAGTATTTCCTCCATTCATTTAAAACATGAGGGGTAAACAGTGTCCTGCACTTTTCAATTGGTGACTTAGGACTATTGAAACATGAAACTCACATACTCGCGTAGATGGCAGCACAGCAGAGCTGCTCAACACAAAATGTCAAGTAATATATCGCATTTCTCCCGATAGATGTCATCACTATATAAGCAAATAAATGCGCATTCCACAACTCACGTGACAAAATGTTTATTCCCAAGCGAAAATTTTAACTATATTTTTTCGTAACTTAAGTTTTTCACCTGACTCGTAACTTTTAAAAATTCTTAAAATTTAAGAAATTAATAAATCATTGTCGTCTTAAACAGCAAAAAAAAAAAAATCTTTCAAAAATATGAATTTTTTCAACATAACAAATGCTAATTTTTCAGCATATTTATTTTTTCGATGTTTTCCTTAAAAACATTGGATACACGTCTGTGTTAATGGAATTCAAAACTTCACTTTCAAACGCTGTGTTATTTATAGGCCGCAGTGCCGAAAAAAAACGGACCATTCTGAATAACTTTTGATCTAATGATCGGATCTTCACATTCTAAGACTCCATTTTAATAGCTCAAGGGGTGATCTCAAATATGCCAAATATTTAGTGCAGATGATAATTTAACTAACGAAATCAGACGAAAAAAAGAACTTTCTCTGAATAAACATGCTTTTTGGACTAACTTCCAAAATAATCCAGAAAGTATAGTCTCAATAGTTGGATGAGGAGAGCACTTCAAAGCTTGGACTCCTTAATGCTAATTTTACTTTATGGCGTTTTGCGCTATATCTCGATAACTTTTTACGCGAATTGAATTGAATATTTATTGTTTTTAATATTTAATTTAATAGTAATCAAAAAAAATTTGAATTGTAAGGCACATAATTTTAAATGCATAATTCTAAAGTATCTAAATTTCATATGGCAAAATAAAAAATTTAAACAAAATCGGTTGAATAGTTTCTGAGAAATTTAATTTTGAATATACGACTTTTTGTAAAATTCGTGAAACTATTAAAAAAAAACTATTCAACGGATTTCAGTCAAATTTTGCATTTTACCATATAAAATTTAGTACTTTAATATGATGTAAAAATTGTATACCCTACAATTCAAAATTTTTTCGACTTCAATTAAATAAAACAATAAAATTAATAAATATTTACTGAAATCTGTTTTCTGTATTGAATTATCTTTGGATAAACGAATTTTATAGCTTTGTGCAGAAGTTTTCATTAAAATAATATAATAATAATAATAATATTTAAAAAGTTTAAGAGATTTGGTGAAATACGTAAAAAGTAAAATTAACATTAGTCCAAAAATTGAATCGCTTCCGTAACCAAACTAAGGGGATCATATTTTCCAGATTGCACCTACCCCCTATATTTTGGTGGTCAGAAATGCAAATTCGTAGAGAAATCAGAGAAAGTATATTTTTGTGTCTGATTTCGTAATTTAAAATATCGCCTGCACTTCTTAATTAATATATTTCAGATCACTCTCTTGAGCCATTAAGATTGAGTCCTAGAACGTTAAGATCCGTTTATTAGATCAAAAGTTATTCAGGTTGGTCCGCTTTTTTTGTTTCGTTTTTTTTTCTCTTTTTGTGAACTACAAACAAACTGACAACAACAAACTGACCTTCATTAAACTACCGTCATGAAACAGTAAGCACAATTTCATTAATGACGAATTATTATAGTGACAAATCGATGTATCACTTTAAAAGGCCGTGATTCGTGGTTGTCGTTTTTCAACTTTAATATCAATGATAGATCTGTAATCTATGTTAGATCTAATTCGATCTGATTCGAGATCTAATTCTGCTATTATCTATGATAGATCTAATCTGATGTTAATTTATTCATTAGTATTTAAATATTTATTCAATAGTTGAATATTCAAATAGAATAGATTAGAAAAAATCATCCTTATTGAGAATACCCGGTAATTAGATAAAAACCGTTCACCTCTATCCAAATGTTTTTCAGATAAAAAAAAATTGGCTCAACATAATCTACATTGATGGGGTTTTTTTAAATTAAGTGTCATTTCTTTGTATTATCCAGACTAATTTTTTAATGAAGTTAAGGGTCATTTCTTGTGATACGCTTGCTTCGTATTTCTTACACTAACGTTTTTTTAAGGTTAAGTGCCATTACCCGCTATACATTTACTCTTTAATTTCAACACTGTTTTTACTAATTTTCCCTGATCGGATGCTGAAATATCAAATCGATTAGAAACTAAAATATTAATGAATAAATATTATATCGGACATAACAAATTGGGCACTCTTAAAAGGTACTCTGTTACTGTTGACATTCAACACTCAAAGTCGACATTCTCTTGTCTTTGGAGAACCAAATACATGTTATCTTTTTTTTTTCAAGCAATGAGACTGAGATGAGTGCTTATACTTCTATATCATTTCGAGCATAAATATTAGGATTTGCAGAAAATGTTCTAATCAGATTCTTAATACGAATACAAAGAATAGCTTTTACGCTTTAATTTGCTGACATTATCATTAACTACAATTTGAAATCCTTTAATTAATGGATAATTCTAAAGAAAATAAGGAATCAAAGTAGAGATAGTAAGTAAAGATACTTATAGTTTTAATATATTTTGCTCAAATTGCATTATATATTATTTCCCTTATTTGCATACCCTTTAACTATTTCGTCCAATTTTGAATACATAAAATATACAACAGAAAAGTATTTAAGTTTCATTTAAAAGACTAACTATAAGATACATAAAACTCTGCCACGAGAGTTTCCCTATGGATTTGCTACAAGTATACCGAAGAATCACTCAGTCTAGAATGGAGATTGTTTGTATAACAATTGACTTGAGCACTGAGTTAAAAGCGTTTAAAGTTCTGGAACTGTGCTTCTTAAATTACAATAATTGATTTTTCGCATGAGTACTGTGGAGCTTTAAAAGATTTGAGTAGAGTTTTAGCGGAACACGTTTTAATTGTCAAAAATCAAAAATAAAGAATCAACTTGTAAGTTCTTAAAATGTCTTGGAATATTTCGAAAAAATGTTGATACACAGAGGAAATTGTATTAGACTTGGCTGAACTTTTACAAATGATGAATGCAAAAGTAATTTATATTGAACCAAAACTTTTTCGAAATAGTTAATTTTACTCTAAATTAGAATCAAGTTTAAACACTTTATATATTTAAGGAAATAAATTAGTTTAGTTTTAAACCCCAGTTGAGAACTTCATAATATATTCTAATCTTAATTCAAACAATGGTGTTAACTATATCATTCTTTCACTGACAAAATTAGTATAGTCAAAACTACCAGTATATGGTAAAATTTACCGTGTTTTGGTTCTATCGGAGATCCAATATCTCAGTAATTTTTACCGAATCACACTGACAGTGATTTTCAGAAAATTAACAATAAAATGTGGGTTTTTTTACAATATAAATGTTTTTTTTTATCCTATGTTTGGTAGTAAATGAGGAATTATTGTGATACCTTAGAGCATGACATAAAAGTCATTTATTAGGCTAAAGTTTTCAGTTTTGTAATTATTATTACAAAATGTGTGGCACTGTATCTTAATTTGTTGCCACCTATTGGAGCAGTAAAAAAATTAGCTGAATTCAAATTAAATTGAATGATATTGATTTTTTTCTGTTCCTTCAAGAAATTAAACAAAACACAGGGTTGAAAATTAATAAATTAAAATATCCGAGTTAATACTCTCTCCATTAAATTTATTTTTTCTGTAGTAAATTGCTGACCCTGAAAAATATCCAGAATCATCATTTTAAAAACCAATACAAAAAGAAATAACTAAATAAATGGTTTAAATACTGTGTATCTAGGTTTTATTAACCAAAATAATGCTGTTGTTGTTGTTTTTCTTTTTTTTAATGAACAGGTCATACTAAACAGTATGATGATTTTACCATCTTTTTCCCTCCATGTTAAATGATTAGTATTATGATTACAATTTTTTTTGTTGATAAAATACTATAATGAAAAATAGGTGTTCGGAATTGATGCCATATAATTAAATAAACAGTCATAATTTAATTTTTAAAATTACAGTCAAAATTAAGTTAGACAATTGTTTCTTAATATGCTTGATTTTACATATTTGAATTTCAAAAGCATGTTAAATCTCTTCTTTGTCTTAAAACCTCTTTACGATTACAATGTACACAGTACGGAAATAAATGCATGTGAACCAAATGGTAACTGTTTTAGTAAAGCAAACTTTAAGTTTGGGAAAAATGCTTATCATTTGTAAGGTTTTAATTTTGTTCTCTTTTAATTTTGCTTGATAAAGTATTTGATTCGATCTAGATTCTGAATAAAAATAAAACTACAAGGCTTTTCAATAATTACAGTCCTAGCTTTTATTACAGTCCTAGTTTCCTATTAATATACGTTTTTAGTATCCTAGTAAAAAATAGACATCAAATAAAAACCATCCTAGTACACACAACTCTCGACATCATTATGCAAATAAATATTTTGATTGATTTGCATGATGATCTCGAGTCTCATTGCTTCCAGTTAGTAGCAGATCATTGCATAAAATCTCCTTGCTGTGCTTTGTGCATTCCTGCATACTGTGTAAATTGTACTGTGCATTCCGATGTACTGTACATTCTAATTTACAGTGAGAAAGTTTCGTGGTTTTCCTTCACTTGTGAGTAAGTTCCAATAAAATGTCCTCCACAAAAATTTTAAAATTACAAGAGCAAATTATTCCTTTGTTTTCAAGTTCAGGTTCAAAATTACAAGACTAAGATGTATCGCTGTGATTAGAAAAAAATATTAAGTGGTTATAGTCTTAAAACGTTTCTGTGATTTCCTATTTAAGTATGTTTCGATTACTTTCAATATTCGCAGTTTCGTCTTAAAGATTTAAAAAAGGAATCATTTAACGAAATATAATTTAATTAATGAAAGTAATGCTAGACCTAAATTATGCAAGGGTCAGAGATCCAGAATTCATAAATGTTTTTCATGATTGTGTCATCATATTTGATAAATATCTCTATATATTCGTAAGTGTATCAGCATTATCATTCATACATGTGTATATCATGTTTCATAAATGTGCCATCAGGTATAACTTATAATTTTAATAAATGTTTACAAATGTTTCATCATCTTAATTATACATTTGTCAATTTGTAATTGATTGTGTCATCATATTTCCTAAATAAGTCCTTATAAGATGTCATTATTTTCACTCATTTGAAATATGATGAGACATTTATGAAACATAATGTACACATATGTATACATTGTATTTCATAAATATGTCATCCGTTATAACTTTCACTAAATGTTTGATATGTAACATACATATTCCATAAATATATCATCAGTTGTAAACTTTAATTTCACTAAATGCTCCATATGTATCATTCATAAGCTATCATGCGTAACATTCAATTTCAATAACTTATTTTTCCAGGTGGCCACATTAATCCTGGAGTCACTGTTGGTTTCGCCGCCGTAGGTAAACTTCCCTGGAGAAAAGTTCCTCACTATCTGGCTGGACAACATCTTGGAGGATTTTTAGCATCAGCTGTTTTATACTTCACTTACTATGGTAAAATATTTTAATCATTAAGATCCATTTTGTTGTTTTAAAAACAGATTTTTGAAAATAAATTTAATTCTATAAACTTTAGGTAGCATCAGGTTAGAGTAAAAATAATAAATTCTGTTATAAAATGAGCCGTTGTTTAATATTTTAAGGCATTGAGCTCAATTATTGTTGTTTTGACACACGTATCAAATATAATTATACATCAGACGCACTTATCAAATATAATTAGTTTTATAATTATGCATCAAAAAATAAGAAAAGAAGCAGCTTAAATGCCTGAAAAGTCATTAGAAAGTAAAGTCAATTTTAGACACATTAGTAATACTGTCTTTTTAAAAAAACTAACCTATATTAAAATCTAAACAATTCCAAAGAGAGCTTATATCCCAGATTGCAGGTAATTTTACAGCAAACATCGCATATTGAATTTCATTTGGGTGGCATAGAAAGGTGGACTAATTAATCATTTTTAAACTTAGTAGAAATATTAGTTTGTCAAGCTTGTTTCCTTAAAGATTGAATAAAGCCATGCAAAAACTTTACAAAAAAGAAGTCACTTTTTTAACTTTTACTATTACTGATTAATACTAGGTAATATATAGATTATATAATAAGCAATGGTACATAACCTAAAAAAAACGTTAGTGTAAGAAATACCAAGCAAGCGTATTCCGAGAAATGGCACTTAACTTCTTTAGAAAATTAGTCTGGATGATGCAGAGAAATGGCACTTAACTTTAAAAAAACAATCAATGTAGATTATGTTGAGAAAATTTTTTTTAAACTAAAAAACATTTGGGTAGAGAATAACAGTTATTATCTAATTACTGGGTATTCTCAATAAAGATGATTTCACTAATCTATATATAACCTTGTTTTATATAACCTTGTTTTTGCCTTTTTTCGTTCTAGCTTTGCCTAGGCTTTCAAATCCAACATTTTTGTTTGTGTTGAAAACTTAATGATTAGGCCAACTTTCTTTTTTAAAGTGAAAACTATCCAGAATATAAAAATCTGCACGAGTAAACCTTGTTTCAGTAATGGTCATAAAAATCTTTAAAAAAAATTGAGAAGGTGAATTCTTTCTTATTTTGAGAACACTTTTTACGATTGATTTGTGAATGATGATTAATTCTCGATTTCAAAAGACTTTACTAGCTTTATTTTGTTAAGGCAAATTCAAATATTCTATTCATTCATTTATTTGCTAATCATTTATAAATCCTGTTGGACTAGTTACTGACATTAACATCAATTTTACACTTCTATTTGGGTATGTGTTTAAATTACTCTACATACCATTCAAATGCTTGCAGCTACCCAGAATAAATTAACAGAAATTCTAAAACTTGACTAGAAATATCTACATAAAATACATTGCTACACTGAAAATAATGTTAATTTTGACTTAGTCAACATCAACTACATTTAAATAGTACTCCCAAAGGGAGAGTTACTTTTATAAATTAAATGCACAGTTCTTTCGTTAATTTCAAGGATAAAAGAAAATGGTTTCACATATTTTTGAAGAACATTTTACTCTGCAGAAAGTATTTCGTTATTTAAAAGTTAAAACAAATTATTCTTTACTTAATTGCAAAAAAACACTTATATCAAAATGAACTTGCTTTTTTTTTACTTTTTTTTTTACTCAAAAAGTGGAATAGTTTTAAAAAATATTCACAAAAAATGAAACAAATTGCTAAAGCAGAAAAAAAGGAAAACTCAACTTTTAAACTCATTACTTTATATACTAGTTACTTTTATGATAAAATAAATATTTTTAGCCTTACCCATGGCACTACTTTAACTTTACATTTTCACTGAAACGTTAAGCTGAAAGTCATTATGATAAAACTTTATTATAAATGCAAAGAGGCAGTGGGATTTATTTTTACAAAGTAACTCAACTTTAAAAAAAAATAGTAATTTAATATTTTTTTCTTGTATTAGTTCTTTTTCAAACGTCATTTCTTATAAACAAAAACTGGAAAGTAGTTTTTAATTTGAGTTAAAATTGCTTTAAAAATACGTTCAAGTACTTTGAACTTGTATATTTTAATTTGAATATGCTACCTATATTTTTATTAAATCTTAATAACTTTTAATTAAAAATATATACTATTAAAATAACATACTGATTTAAAGTATACAGTCTATGATTTATTTTAAAAAATTTTACTTTAGATATATTAGTAATAATGCGAAATATTGTTCATTTTCTTTAAACTACAAAATTTTATTAACATAAATCCATAAGGATCCTAAAGAAATTAAGAGTAGTATTGATGAATTTTGAGTCTTTGCTCATTTGAATGTTCTTATCACCGTTTTAAAGAATTATTTACATTGCTGCTATTATGATTCAGGAATTATTGTGAGTGATATTATGATTCAATCCAGATTTTTTCAACTGTTCACTTTTCATATTCACTGTTTCTGGGTCAATGTTTGTTAATAAACTTCATATTTTCAGCTACACATAAATTTTAATTTTAAGACCGGCAAAAAAAGTATATCACGAATTCTTTTGGAAATTTTTAGTGCCAGTACCAAAAATTTTTTCATGAAAAGCTCATCATGGATTTTGCTTATACATCTCCGTCCAAATTGAATCATCAAGCGTTTTGTTTCGCATCACCGTTTAATTTAAATCATCATGAATTTTGCTTAAACATCATCTAAAGCAAATCCTCATAGATTTTGCTTATACAACACCGCCTAAATTAAATCATCATGGATTTTTCTCATAAATTGCCATCTAAATCAAATCATGCATTTTACTTATAAATCACCGTCTAAATCAAATAATACTATGGATTTTTAAGGTTGAAATACCATATACTATATTTATACCAAATACTATGTTCTGAAAATACTATATTTTTACATTAATTAATTAAAGTTGATTAATAAAAATTAATTAATTAAGATTGATTTGCTTGTTTATTTTGCTTTTAAACAGAATAAAGCTCAAAGCTCAGATTGATCTGTTTAAATAGCAACTGTAGCAACAGCAAGGGAAATAGAAAATGGGTTTCATAACACTTAAAAATGGTACAGTTTAAAGAAAGCTGAATAACACAGACTCAAGGCAAAAAAAAATTTCACCTGAATATTTTTATAAATATTTAAAAATATTGTTGTTACTCAAAAAAGTATTAATTTTATAATTAAAGGTAGAATAAATCAATTTAAATTGCATGCTTTGTTTCTAAAACATTTTGTTTCAAAATTATACTTCATCATTAGATGCCTTTATGCTCTATGATCCAACGCGAACTGTTGTTGGAGAAACCAGGACTGCTTGGGTTTTTGCAACATATCCAAGGGATGGAATCTCTATATTTGACTGCTTTTTTGGTGAGGTTAGTCAAAATTATGTTTATTTGTTAATTTTCTGAAAATATTTTATTTTATCTTGATTAAGATTTTATTGTATTTTTATGAGTTTGTTAAATTTTGATAAAATTTATTTCCATATTTTTTCACGAGGTATTTTTTTAAATTCTAGAGTGAAAGATATTACCTGTTTTACAGTATTTTAATGTATCTTAGATTGTCACTGATTTAATCTTGTATCCCTTGGATAATATTAAAATCAACGTTAAATTAAGCATGTCAAATAAAAGATAAAATATACATTTTTATAATTTTTTAAAGCTCTAAAATAATGTTTTAGAAAATTAAAATAAATTATAAATAAGTATTTTTTATTGGATCATGTTTGGATTCACAAATTTAGATTTATGCACCTTTATTCTAAGTAGGTAATTATAGATTATTTACTCGTTAATAGTTTTAAAGCCCATAAAAGAGACTTTATTAATCACGCTTCATTCTTAAAATCTTAAAATTCAGAACAATAATTAATTTAAATGGAAGAAATATATTTTTCTCAAAACTTTGACTGGGAGTTTTTATATACACAAAGATCATTAATTAACTTATAATCATGTTTAAAAAATTGGTTTAATTAGGCTGTATATAGTATGAAATAAGAATTCTTGTTGAACTTAATGTCCCTTAATAAGACCTTGTGCTTAATTCTTTCTCTTTTTAGTTAAAAATGGTATATTTTTAGATAACTTATTTTGATAGAAATTTATTTATTTGTTATTTTAAATTTATGATAATTTATTTTTTTTATATCATTTAACTATCTTTCGTTTCCTCAACGAATCATGAAAATTAGTTTAAAATTTAAAGATTTTTCATCGCGAAGTATCATCTAAATTCAAGTTTTATTCATGATGCATACTATTGTTTCCTCACTAGGTTACAATTAAATTATAACCAACATTTGAAAACTTTTTTCATAAAATTGTCTATTCAGATTAAAATAAAAACTAAAAATGACAAACTCTGTTTCTTCATAGTTTTTTCATAAAAACATAACAGGTATTAGTTATATATCTGTATGGATTTTATTATTTTATACGAATTATCTTTTTTATATTTATCTATAATAATTCATGTGTAACAAGTGTGTTATTTTCAATGTGTATATGCATTATTTTTAGTACTTTCATACAGTGCAAAAAGTTCTGGATCAAATTACGGGAAACCACACAGTGCCGGTACATTTTACCTTAAAATAAATTTTTACCCTAACACGTTAAGGATCCAAAAATCTGATAAACCGTATTTTTTACAGTAATTAGTACGGTTAAATAACTGAATCGCTGTAATTAAACAAATATTACTATAAAAATTACAGTATAATATTTCATGGTAAAATCAATTTCATGGATGATGTACCCAAAGTGCCTATACTTTATACCGTAATTTGATCTGGAATTTTTTATAGTGCAGCTTAAGCTATTTTATCTGCATCATGTGTAACTTACTTTTCAATCTATTGAATTCATAATATACATGTAATTTATAATTTCATTTTGATCATAGTTTTCTTTTTTTCTTGTAAAGTTAGTTGCTGGAGGACTGCTAATGTTCACTGTCATGGCAATTGTAGACTCCAAGAACTTAAACATTCCTAAATATTTATGGCCAATATTCATTGGTTTTATGATTCAAACAACTGCTCAGACGTTTGGGCTGAATTGCATGGCTCCAATCAATCCAGCTCGTGATTTTCCAACAAGAGTTTTTACTGCAATAGCTGGCTGGGGAAAGGAAACATTCAGGTAATATTTTTTAAGTTGGCATAAATTTAACTTATGCAGTTTTTAAATTTAAATCTTACTAAATTCAGATTAAATTTATATTTTTATGATCTACTTAATTCATAAATTATTTTAGCGCAAAAATTGAACAATCGTTATTATTACAGTTTCAATTACTTGAGTACAGATTAAATGTGATACAAATATTTCTTTAAAATTTTTGATATTTATACCATATTTTTTACATTATTCGATGACAACATAAGGGAACATATTTTTTTCGAATGAGATTTTTTTAACGAACTTGTATATTTTTACGACACTGGTTCTAAATCTGAAATCGGCTTCTCTTTTCAAACCACAATATTTTTTAAATGACACCTTTAGTATTTTTTGTCAAAATGTGTAAGTTTAAGAGCTTTATTTATAACAGGGGCCAGCGTAAATGTTACGATAAACTTCTAGGAGAGTTAAGGCTCATCATCAGGATTGAAATTGCATAGTGGCCGGGATAGCCTGGTCGGTAGGGCACTGGGCCCATGTCCGAGAGTTCGTCGGTTCGAACCCCGCCGGTAGAAGACTCCCCGTGTAGTAAAGTGACTGATGCGCGTTAAATCTGTTGAGTCGCAAAAGTCCTCCACGTTCCCATAACAAATCAATACCTCTTGGGGTGCTGAATTGGAGATCGATCGTTCTCTGATTCAGGTCAAAATTACGATCTGTGGATGAAAGCGGGTGCGATGTATGGTGTGGCAGAAATCGAATTCCTGGCCATAGATGGCGCCACTGAAAAACAAGAAACGCACACTTTGCCTTAAATTTGCTCGGTTTCACCAAGCAGGCTTGCGCTTGTGATGGCAAGTGGCATTAGAACTAACCAACCAAAATTACATCGGAACCCATTCCCAGAAATGACGTCATACGCCCCTACGGACGCTTTCCTATTATGAACTCTTTCTTGATGTTCTACTGACCAGGACATAGTAGAGAAAGCGCCACTAGCCGCGTACGGTGACATGAGTTATGGCATTGATGATGCATCCTAACTCACTTAGAATTTTGTTGCAACATTTACATGACCCACTGTTATAGATAACGGTTTTTATCTTGTGCATTTTAACGAAGATTGATCTACAGATTTCAAATATCCACACTCGATTAGGTAAGATAAAGTATTTACATAAATACAAAGAAAAACTCGTCCCTCTGCGTTATTCATTCTAAGTAATACATTGTTTATTTTAATACACAAATTGTACAACTGTTTTCAATTAAAAGACTTTGTTACATCGATATTTGAGTGATATTTGAATAAATGACCAAAAACCAATTTCATTATTATTTAGTTACGTCATTTTAAAATTCACTATTAATTTTTAAATTATATAGTGTCTCATTTTAAGATTCTGGGTAATTAAGTTAAACCTAGTTTAATAAAACCCAGAATTTTAATTAGTCTATTATAGAAAGTTCAAGGCATTTTAGTTTTATGCTTTTCAGCAGTTCAGTCATTCTCTTAAACTAAAATAAATTAAAGATATAGAGAACAATATGTTTAGAATAGAAGCATTTTTAAACTGGTAAATTATCTCTTTGTGAAAAATATAAAGAAATGCTTTTATAAGGAAAATTATTTTATAATTATTCTTGTAATTAAACAAATAAAAATGAAAACCGACTTTCAATTTTTGTATTGTTTATTTCTTGCAGCATAAGAAACTATGGTTATTGGTGGATTGGTTTATTGGGTCCCCATATAGGCTGCATTATTGGGGCTTGGTTCTATTATTTGGCTATAGAACTTCACTTTCCGGAAGAAAAACAAATTACTGATGATGTTGAGATTCAACTTAATGAAAAAAATACAGGTATTACTCTTAGTTATTTAAATATAAATAAACTTTTTGCACCTATATACATATAATATTTTTAAATCGATGGAAGCTAAATAATGTTATTTACTATATCAATATTATTTGTTATTCCCCATGTGTATACAGTAGAACCTCAATTAATCGTTTCTCATGGGAACAGTTCTTTGTTAGCAGTAGATACGGAGAAACGGTAAATGCGTGTATAAATCAAATAATAATTAATGGCTTGAAAGCATGAAAAAGCATGGAAATATAGAAGAAAACTAGTTTACTATAAGCAAAAGAAAATTTAGTTGAAAAAATTATGACCATATTGTAAAATTACTTACGACGCTAAAGAATAAGCAAATTTATTTATTTAAAAAATTTTAAAATTTTGGTTTGAATGTTCTATTTTCTTCTGTGTGCTAATAACAAATTTCTGATATTTGTAAAAGATTGCTATTCATTTTGCACATACTCGCGTGAATAAGAGACATGCCATTGCTCATTGATTCTTAGCCTTCTGCAAATGTTGGCATTGCATTCTGTTCCATTTCGCCGGCTATTGTTCGCCGTAGCTTTTGCAACCGCTTCTGAACTTAACATGATTCATGATTCAGCATTTTCATCAACTAATACCTTAACATCAAACATGCTTTTGTTTTACCCAAACTGACACATCCTTATTTTCTTCATCCTTAAAATGAGAAGTTACAATTTTTTTTTTCTTCTCAAAATGGAAAAAACTTCGATGTTGTTAAATGTTGGTAAAATTTCTGAATGATAGACGTGGGAATTCGTTAGTTTTCAAAATGATCCAGATGGTTTTTATGAACATTGTAAAAATGGCATTTCTGATGAGACCGTTAGTACAAGACGATGCACACGAGAAAACTAAAGATGCGGGAAGAATAGATTGAGATTCGACTGCATTATTTCTTTTATGAATATAAAAAAAATTAAAAAAAGGCGAAATTCAACGCATAAGTCATTCATAAACCTTCAATACATCCAGCCTGCTATTGATGCTTTTTGTTCTAGACATATATATATATATAGTTTTATACTGAATGAAATAATGGTCCAAAATTAACAACTAGTTAATAATAATAAATAAATGATAGTTTATTATATAACCGGATTTATACAGCCTAATCAATTTGGAGTTTACACCTATCATCCGTATCCTTGTTTTTTTTTAACCCAACCCAGAAGACAAGATAACTCCTGAATCAAGCCTGTAGACATCCAACCCTTCGTTGAGGACATTTGTGCTACTTGGAGAGGAAAACTTCCCACGGTGAGCCCAGAGGTGAGGGGATTCGAGACCAAGATGAGTCTTCCACCGAGAAGATCTTGCGTAAGCACTGTGGTCGATGCGAGCCGTTGGCAGAATTCGTGACAACCAGCCACCACTCGGATTCGAACCTGAGATCACCTCATTGAGGGACGAATACTCTATCCCCCGAGTATATATTCCAAATAAGTTATTTCCTTGCTTAGAATCACTTACATTTCCTTGAAAATTTTAAAATATAATCTTATTTTTTTACAACCTATGAACCTTTTATACTAAAATGCAAAATAAATTTTTCGTACAAAAATGCTTTTTTTGCTGCTTTAAAAAGTAAATAATTAAATCGAATTAAGTGACAATTAAGTTCCAAAAAAGTTCAAAAGTTCAGTCGATATTGCATCTGAATGAATGCATCAAGTTTTCTTTTCGCAAAATTTTATTCTCTTTTAGTATTGTTTTCAGTAATCAAATATAAAATGTAATTAACTGAGATTGGTTAGAACTTGAGCTCTTTTAAGAGCAAATTTTAATAAATGGAGCTGTTGGCAAATAAGATTATTTAAATAAAACAGATATAATTTCCTTTTTCGCACCCAACGAGAAAACCTATTTTTCCCTAGGAGCAACAGATTTTTATTCTTGTAGAAATACAAATTAGGAACAACGTAATAAACACAAATAAACAAATTAGGAAGAAAGATTATTATTTGATCATGTCATTACCAAAAGTAATAAACATCTTCAGTGTCGAGACAAAGAATAAAAAAATATCTGATCCCTTCAAACTGAAAGTTTTGATTTCAAATAAATAAATGGCATTAAAATATTTAAAGTGTATAATTTTAAGAAAAAATGATAGATTAATAGAAATAATTATATCGATTAAATAAAAAACATTTCAAGCATTATTCAAGATTTTTGAGTTGTCTCATAAATATAAATGGAATATTTTTATAATGATTTTAAGATGTTGATACTCCAACATTTTTGAGAAAATAAAAATGTTTCTAAGACTTATTGAAACTTAAGCATTTGTAACAAACATAATCTCTCAACCATTTTCTATATCTAGAACTTGAGCTTTCTGGGGTAAAATGAATATTGTAAATTATAACTTTTTATCCAACAATAGATTATTAACTGAAGAAAAAAAACTAAGCTTATCATAATTCTTACAATGGAATTATTATGCTTCCAGTAACTTCGCCTTGTAGAAAAAAAGCTTAATAATTGGTATAGAATCCTAAGTTTTAAAAGTTATATCCTATAATTATCGTAAAATAATGTAATAAAATTTAACCTAAACCCTATAAAATAACAATTATTTTTAATACAATTATGTAATGAAACTAATAAATTATTAATTAAATCTTTTTATAAACCGATAGTTTGTAACCAGAAAAAAATTAAGTAAGTTTATCGTTTTTCTTACTGAGAAATATATAGTTTTTCAATTACTTATCATTTTAAGACAAAAACTTAGATACTACTAAATTGTACATACTCGTAAGTTTTAAAATATAAGTTACATCACTCTAAAACTATTGTGAAGTAACCTAATTAAATTTAACCAAATCCTTATAAAATAATCATCAAAACTCTTTTAAAGAAATTGTGTGATGAAAATGACGAATTGTAAATTTTTAATAATAGTTTTTATACATTAATAGTTTGAAAACTGAAAGAAATAATGCTATGTTTACCATATTTCTCATAGAGGAATGTATATTTCTTTAATAATTAAACATTGAGAACAAAGCCTTCGATATTTGATTCTAAATCAAAAGTTTTTAAAAGTTATATCATTCTAAGTTTATTGTAAAATAATCAAATTAAATTTAACCAAAATCTTAAAAAAATATTGAAGCAATTTTCAAACAAATCACGCAATGACAATAATAAATTGTGATTATTAATAACAACCTTTTATGCATTTATAGTTTGTAATAGTAGATGTTGTTTCTTGCAGAGGGATATATTTTTTGTCAATAACAAAACATTAACAACAAAACTTTGAATAATCTGTTCTAAGTCGTAAGTTTTAAAAAAGTTAAATCATTCTAAAATTATCATAAGTGCTCGAATGAGACATAAACAAACCTGATAAAATATTAGCAAATTTAATGAAATATAATCTTATAAAATAACCATTAAAGTCGTTTTAAAAGAAATTATTCTTTAAAGAAAGTAACTCCAAAACTTATGTATGTCTAGTCGGAAGATCGAATAAATCAACACACTTTTGACAATTAGAACCTTCGAGAGTGAACTTTGCTGTTGAAATCCAATATTTAACAAAGTTTAGTTATTTCAACATAGAAAATTATGTAACCTCGAAGTACGATAAATATTAAATTAACTGTCACAATTATTTTAAAATAATTTAAGCATATTTACGTGTTAGATCATTTAAATAAAAAAGATATAATTATATTTACTAAAGCGCAAATATATATCTCAAGAAATTTTTCAATCTTTATTTTAAGCATTAGTTTTAATACTTTGCCTTTAAATTATAAGTTTTTGAATTATTTTAATATATGTATAAAATAATTTTGATATATATATATATATATTAAAATAAAGCAAAAGATTATAAAAAAAATATCGATAATAAATGATTTAAAAAATTTTTGCATAATGTTAAGTATATCTATAATTATGCTCGTATTAAATTTTAATTAATTTATTTCAAGCACTTTTCTTATTAAAATTTCTTATACTCTGAAACTAAATTCAACATAGAACCACTATTATATTGTTTTGGAAATGTTTTTTTCTTAGAAAGTTGCTTTATTTTACCTTAATAGATTTGATTAGCTAAATTATNATATTAAAATAAAGCAAAAGATTATAAAAAAAGATCGATAATAAAACATTTAAAAAAATTTTGCATAATGTAATGTGTATCTGAAATTATGCTCATATTAAATTTTAATTAATTTATTTCAAGCACTTTTCTTATTACCATTTCTTATACTCTGAAACTAAATTCAACATCGAACCACTATTATATTATTTTGAAAATGTTTTTTTCTTAGAAAGTTGCTTTATTTTACCTTAATAGATTTGATTAGCTAAATTATGTTAGCGTATAAATTAAATTTTAGCTTGTATATGTTGCTATAAAATACAAAAATATTTTAACATTTTAAAAAGGCAGATTTTTAATTAATACATCCTTAAAATAACAGGGTTTTTCATTAATGAGTAAAATTAAAAATTTGAGTGCTATTTTTCATCAATATTTATGCTCTTTTTTCTCTACTGAATTGGTTGAGGCATGTCGAAGCCATGCATGTCTATATATTCAAGATTGAAATTCAAATATTATTTATATTTTTTTCGTTATAGAATGAGGCATAAGATATTGAACTAAACCTAGCATTGCGTACCAAAACTAAACCTAACTGCACGTAAAAATAATCAACGCTAAACTGATAAAAAAAAATTAAGTCTGAGTTTTTGTACAGAAATTATTCTACAAATGAAGCAATAAGATTTCTATTGCATATCATTTTTATGTATTATATAAATAAATTATATTATAATAGTTGTTCCAAAAAATCATAAGAATATCTTCGAATACAGTTTGAGCACTTTCTCATAAAATGTTTATATGAACTGGTAATGATTTTAATACTCTAATCCAGCATTTTCCCAGAAATTTACCACACGGAAATCTCTCACAGAACTAAAATCAGTGCTAAACACCTTCCTTCAAATATTTGCGAAATAAAGTTTAACAAACTTCCATTCATTAAACAAATTTACAATATTCCTACTCTTGAAAAAAAAGTAAGGTCAGAGCTACTGGGATATGATCAAATTTACCGTGTTTGTGGCTTTATGGGAACTCCAAAAAGCTAGGTAAATTTTTACTTAGTCCTTTGGTCATGATTTTAATAAAATTAAAAGTAAAATATGATCCTATATTATGTAATAAAACTTAGTGAATATGATCAAACTTAGTTTTTCCATGATATCTTTAAGAATGGCATATAATCATTTATTTGGATAATTTTATTTTTCAGTTTTGTATTTTTTACTTAATGTGCGGTAATAAGAACTATTATTTTCAAAACTAGATTTTTTGGTAAACCACTTCCAGATGAGAGGAAAAATTACCAAATAAATGGCTAAAATACCGTATATTTTAAACCAGAATTATGCTTCTTTTTTTACCAGAAATGTCATTACCATGAAGTACTAATTAGGTGGTATTTGATGATATTACTATATAAATAAACCTTAGGTAAATAATTGAAACCTCAACCTAATTTTGACGAAATTTAAAGACGGAAATTAAAATTAAAAGACTAAAATGTGCAAAACGAAAAAATATCAAAATTAACAATTTGAACATCGAGTTAGCTGAACTAAGGACGTCGTTTTATTTGACAAAATTTTGGAACACTTCATTTAACTTTAATCAAACGGAGACGAATGTCAGCTTCAGTATCTAGACAGGGTTCGGTGTTTAGTTATGGTTTAAGCATCTATTGAAAGCCCGCATTGGCTAAGTTCAGTTGTGGCAAAAAATATGGTTACGTTTTTTAATAAAGGGTTGAAGTGTTTTGTTTTACAGACTAAGTCAAAAATTTCAATATGTAAGGTAAATTTCAAAAGGTAATCTGAAGCTGTCAACCATACATTCCAAATTACTAGATGGAACAAAGGTTGGTAAAACCCGATACGTGACTAGTACGTTTTTTACGTCTCTCTGAAGCAGCACAATGCGTTTTTAGTCCCGACCTGAGAGACATACCTGAGGATGATTCAAAGATATGCCATCACAATTTTGATCGTCTGCAGAGGACATGACGCCTTCGTAGCCCAAAGACCTGCGTGGGAGTGAAAAAATTAACGGTATAACAGTTTAACGAGGATCAATACAATGAATCCTCAATCTTTTTGCATTTTTATCAAAGTGGACACCAGCCCGTGCACTCACCGCAACCAGTGATGTTTGACTTCGATGAACTACTAGGAGCCATGTCATACACTCAGTCTACTGGTAGTACAATGATACATAATGGTCCTTCTTGAATTTCAGTTCATCTACTTGTCTCACTTAACCTTGATATTTAGCATAATTTACTTTAATTTTCATATTGGCATTAATATTGGCATTTTCTGAATATAATTTATTCTTTTTGTAATTATTTTTAGAGACATTGGTTTTGTTTTCCTAATGTTCGCCGTAGAAATATTAGAGCCAGATCACAGTTTCGAAATAGGCTCATGTTACTTTAATTTTTTTTAATAAAAAACATGGAAAAGAAACATTACTCCAACACATTTATAGGTCTTGCCAAGATATTTTTTTTATTAATAGATACGTTCAATGTTTATAAAATAGTTATGTTTTCTTTTTTTCAGAAAGAGTAAGATAATGAAAACATCCAAGTGTCTTCACGAAAAAGGACATTTCTTTTCAAATCTTACGCATCATGCATTGTATTTCACTTTATGTACCATCAAAATGATATCTTGTTTCAATACATTAAACATACTCAATAAAGAGAACATTTTATATAATAATATGTTTTACTTTTTCCGTGATAAAAATATTATTATTTAGTGACTTCTGCCAATTTTATTATTCAAGGTTCTGATGCTTGAGAACCTATATGCAACGAAACCAAACAATAATGTTATTCTCTGACTTATTAAGATATAATAATTTGCCTCCTACCCAACAGAACAATTCTGCTTAGGAGAGCAAAGAATTGCAGGCATCATTAATAAATTTGCGAATTTTTTGAAGATCAAGTCAGATCTTAGAAAAAGCTGTCTCTTTTATAAACGTTTATGCTGACATTATTAAATCAATTAAGACCAGTTAAAAATATTTACCATTTATAAATACTTTATAATTATCGTTTATAAATATTTATCGTTTATAAATAATTTATATAGTTAAATATTTCTGATTTCAAATTGTTGTGCTAAAGCCATATAGTTCATATAAGATTATGAGAAAAAAACTTAATTATTAATAAATGATATGAGATAGAGGTGACTTATAAAACAAAAACTTTTACTTGTGTATTTATCACATTTTTAACTTATATCCTTGAAATATATTTTCAGAAAGAAGTTATTTTTAGGACAATTAGATGGGTTTTAAATAAATAGTCCCAAAAAACTGAAGCGGAACGACATGACCCGATTGAAAACTTCATTTGCTTCAAAAACATACAAATATGAAACAACAATCGACATGTTTCAAGCGCTTAAAAGTAGGCGCTTATTGAAAGTAAAAACAGTATTAAACTATTGTACATTTTCACAAATTAAATATCCTATTTTACTATGATAAGATAATGAGATGGATAATTTGATTGATGATAGATTACATGATGGGTTCAGAATTGTATTAAATGATACTTCACAGTAATAATATTATATCCCAGATAGCAAAATAAGATTTACTTTCACTGAGCAAAAATCTTTTAATGTAAACCCAAAAGGGTTTGTTATGCGGTTTACTTGTAAACCTTCTAACCTTAAAATGAGATATGTGACAATCTGCTCCATTCTGCGCACATTACCTTAATCCAAAACCAGGGAAAACAACCTTCTATATAAAAACCTTAAATCAAGGTTGACAAGGTTGGCGTAAAAAAATGTTTTTAATAAAGTTAGTCTCAGGTGAAAATAATCTTAAACCTAGGTAATTATAAGGTTTCTTTTCACAAAGTCTTGTATGCAGGTATGCTCGGCTAAAATCCACCTTTGTCATGAAATTTTAATGGACTAGGCAATTTTAGCGTATCGTTAGTGTGACGTCAGCTAAGACGTCATTATGGACCTAAGGGGTAATTCTTTTTAGGAAAGATTTAAGAAATAATTTTTAATCCTTTTAGGATAAAAGGTTTGAAACTTCAATATTTTTGCCTTATTGAAAAAAGGTTTTTAGTGAAAACATTTTCGGGACAATAAAAGGAAAATTCCGGCAAAAGGTTGCCATAAGGTTACATGATTTCTGGGTATATTGAAAGGGAAAGATATTGTAATTGGATTTGTACATTAAATGGAGAAAAATAAATATTGATTTTGAAGTTAAAAAGAAGCAAAAAAAGGTCGGAAATAGGATTTAAAGTAATTAAATTAAAGGAAACAAGATTGTTCATGAAAAGTGGTAGTAAAAAAACATCGTGGAATAGCATTAACCCAATTGGGTATACTATAGCCTACGTCACAGATCCTGTTATTCCTACTAAATTTAACTAGTAAACAGCATTTTCTGCGAACCTGATTTCTAGCAACAAGTAAAAGCATCAAACGAAGTGTCTTGTTTATAAGTCGCTACTCGCCAGGTTGGAATTGTATTAGTCTAGTTCCTTTGGAAATAATTTATATTGTTGTTTTACCGAAGTTTATGAATTTAGTAAGCATATTTAAAACTCAGTTTCTTAATTAAACTAAAAGCTAAATGTTATTCCTAGTAAGTGGAAGTAGTTGTGCTTTTTTCATATTATACCCAATTGGTTCAATGGTCACTCAATGTGAGGTAAGCATTGAACAGATTGGTATCACTTATTTACAATAAGCTGAACGCTACAAATAATCAACATTTTATATGTTGGATAATAAAACAATGACTTGACATATCCAAATACAAGCAAACCATTTGACGCACTGACGAGTGATGTTTCCAATCAGAAATAAAAGTATGCCCACGAAACAAAATATGTACTCACCGCTTACAAGAGACAAAGAAAAAGGATGCACCGAAAAAAACACGTTTGATTCAAAGCAGTTTTTTTTTAATTTTCGATTTATATTTCTTTATATCACAAACAGGCGAAATTTTTAAAATAAAAAATAAATTAAGACTAAAACACTCCCAAAACAGGAAACACGAGGTTAGAAAGTATTTTAGTAAATGCCTAAAATCTTTCAAGAAATGGGTAACCGAACAGTAGTTTTTTAAACTTTACGAATGTTTAGCATTTAAACGTAATACAGTATAAAAAAATAAGGACGAAAAATCAATTTAAATGGTGATAAGAAGATAAAAACGCTGCTTAAATTGAAAGGATCTTTAATATTTAAAGAAATTTTCAAAGGTTTAAAAAGGTAAATATGAAGGATATTGAAATTAGCAAAAAAATGGTTTTGAGAATTTGTATCAATATAAATGCCAAAGAAAAAGGATTTAAATCCTCATCTCGGACAGAAAGGGCATTAGGTACACAAAAACGAGTCAGTCAGAGAGTGTCAATATTCAGAAAAATTCGTTGACCGTTGACTTTTTTTTTTCTTCCAGACGTGGACACGTACCTAGGTTTGCAAAACCCTTAACCGTATAGGCCACGTCTGGACGCACAAAACTCATAACTGCACAATACAGATGATACAGATGACAATAAAGATGACAATAATTCGTATCACATTACTTAAATTTATAATAATAAGAAAATTTAAAAAAAAAATGAATAAAGAAATTTGAAGCAAAGAGAACAATGAAGCGAATTTCGTTATATACATAATAATTGAAAAAAAAGAAGCAGAAAGAAAACAAATAAGGAAAATGTAAACGAGGACGAAATGTATAATGAAGGACAAAATCAAAAACTGTTAAACACTATCAAGATTACATAAAAAGTCAGGTTTAATTAAAATTTTAATAAGGAGTCGTTTTCTGCTAGAAAATTCATTACGTTAATTAATTTAGAGTTTAATGTTCTATTTGTAAGACAATTTTTTTGCCAAATATGTAAATTATTAATGCTTGAAAGTCGTGTATGCCATGATATTGGGTAAAGACAAGTTGATAAGTAATGCTCTGGTGTACCTGGTTGACCACAGGTACAATATCCGAGATATGAAGGTAATGAAAGAAAGAAGGAAAAGGGCCGTGACCTGTTAGGCACCAGATGACCGATTAAAATTCAAGAAGCAGAGATTTTGAAAAGGGGACGACTAAGATTGGCTAAGTAAGCCCCTCCCACTCCAAAAAATTAAGAAAAAAATAGGGCTTTAATTTGGTGGTTTAGTGAAAAATAAGGTCATAAACTACTTTCTATGACATCTTCTTCTAAAAGACGGTAAGACATCAGAGGAAAGGTGAGAGGGTGTTTCTACCCAAAGGAAATTTAAGATCAAACTGCAGGTGTAATGACCGTTGACCTGACCAAAACGGGTGAAGAGATTCTTTTTGAAAAGAAAAGGGAAATTTTGGCAGACAAAATATATTCAATATATTTGCGCTTACATTGAGAAAAAAATCCCTTAATTTAAGAAAAATCAATTCAAAATTCCACGTAGAATTGACTAAAACTGTTATAAAATTAGAAGTTAATAAAGGTTTAAAAAAAATTTTAAAAAATATTTAAATAATTATAAAATAAGAGTTAAATAAAGTATATCTAAGTATTAAATAAGATAGCGAAATAATATAGCAAATGAGTATTAAATAAGAGTAATTATAACATTACACAAAGTGTAACTGTGACAGAGCCCATTTTCAAGACTTGTCAGATGTGAATATATAAAAAAACAAAAATGATTTTTAAAAAAAACTTGTAGTTGCCAATGAAAAATGTAGAAATAAAGGTGAGAAGCAAAATTACAAAAAGCACACAAGCCGAGATAGATAAAATATGAACAACAGAACAAGAAAAATCACAGTGACTAGGAAAGAAATCAGAGCTAAAGCAGGGCTCATCTTGATGCCTTGGAATCTTGTTTTATTCACTTGAACTCTGATTCCCTTGTTAACGACATTCGTTCCGTCCCTCCTCTCCATAATACGTGGAAATGCATTATACCCTGATTTGCCTCTCGGCAACTGTGAGTTTTCTTGTTCTATTTTTCATTGTTTTTTCTCTAGGCATCTGTGGTTTTTCTAGTTTTGCCTCCCCCCCCCTTTTTTTTTTCCTTTTTCGCTGGCAACTTAACGTTTTTTTTTTATTTCAAATAATTTTTGCTTCTTTTCATTCACGTCTGACAATGAAAGTAGCGGCACACTGAGTCCCTGTTCTTTTTAAAGTACACAAATTAAAAAAACGATTAAGTATCTCAATCTCATAACTTTTCAAATCATGCATAACAATCTTTTAAATAAGGTTTTCATAAATTATAATAAGATTCCCTTGAAGAGATCTATTTTGCATTAAAAAGTACAAACTTTCGATTTATCACTAAAAAATTTGGATTAATTCAAGTTTGAAAAGTCATCGAGTCTAGCACTTATTCAAATGTAAAAGACTTCAGTAAAAAAATACTTCCATTATTTTGTTTGATATAAACTGCAACTCTATTTTTATCGTTAACTTTACCCTCAAATTTATATTATTTTGAAAGAATTAAGAAAAAATAGGTATATTGTGACCAAAATAATATAATTTTCAAAATTTGGGCTATTTTATTTTATTTATAGCAATTTTTTTTATTTTTAAACTAAATATTAATACTTACGAATATTCTATAATTCTCATATTCAAAACATAATTAACGTAATTCTATGAAATTCCTAGATTCTCTTTTCGGCAAGGTAATTGTCTTTATTCATTTAAATTAGGTACATGATG